ACCCACCCATGAGCATGATAACTATAAAACGAGCGAGACTGAAAGCAAAGAGTTTAATATCCACAGTTTCTGCGATTGCCTTTATCTTCTTCCTTTCCTTTGACTTACTGCCCACTCATCTGTGCATAATCAGACCCATACAGAAACACACCTTCAATATTCTCCTCCCTTGGGGATTTATGGGTTAGAGCTTCCACCCCCACTATCGCCCCTATCCTTTCACGCCCAGGGGTGAGTGAAGGTGCAGCTCCAGTAGTTGACATACTCCATTAAACCTGTGAAATCCTCATAAACAAACCCTCCTGCTCGACAGCTCAAAGTATCACCAGAGGATTCCAGTTTTGAGTCAACGTGGCACACTGTATAGTAAATTTCACTGTTTTACGGTCAACATCATGTGCCTTTTTATGGCTTCATTAACTTGAACTGTAACCATTTTTGACAATAAAAAAAAAGAACACAAGCACCGAGATGAACTCTTCTGATCAGTCGTTTATTCAGCATGTCATGTACTCAAACTATGCAGTTATCAACCAGTTTCAACTTCAGTGTACTGAGGAGTGATGCAACTTGTACACACGAATGAGTGTTCACTAAAGTATGACTGCATCTCAAAGAACGCAAGGCAACCCCGAAGACAAAACAGGAGTGCTTCTAGTAACAGGAGGTCTTTGCATTCCTTTGTTTTTTTAAAAAAAATGCAACTCATAAATTACTAAACAGGGTCAACATATCTTTGCAGTTCGTTCGGTTATCTGTGGATTTATAAACATCACAATAGGTCCTCTACATACCATGTGCGATGCATTTGCTTGAAGGAATGCATAACTGCTGCAAAACCCACCTGTTAATACTTTTGAGTACAAGTTGAGGATGACTCTCAGTAACTACCACACAAAAACACTTCTGAGAAATGTATAGCCAGTTTTGTGTTGATAAAAGTACAGTATATTAGTTGTGGCAGCCAAATTCAYTTGGGTAAACTTCAAATGTCCATCCACTGATCACTTTATTGCTTAAACTGTGGAGCTCTGAGTGTCGAGGATGACCCTCATTAACTACCACACCAAACACTCCTGATAACATTCAGCTGCTGTTTTCCATTCATCCAACTGTATACACTCTGTTGTGCTAAATTGGAAATCCAAGCAGACACTTTGTTGTTTTTAAACCAACGATGCAGACGTTTGATATCTCCAAGGATCTGAAGCTGTGGTTGAGGTGTATGCCAAGTATGTGTGATATCTCCCAGTTCATTCCTAATAAATCTGTCAGAGACTTCTGGCAAAAGGGCACAACATCAAACCAAAGAATGAGGACATATTTTAAGTGGAGGGAAAAAGAAACAAAAGCCTGAGGGTTGAGGAAGTAAACATCAACACTACTGGACAGTTTGCATTAACCACTTATRTCAAGTGGAGACTAGGGTTGGGCAATATTAGCTAATAAAGATTAATATGACAATTAATCCCACCTGGAGACCCTGGACACATGCATGCCCTAGTCATATGACCAATTTAAATCATTCTCTGTAAAAATCTGTTCCAAACTGTGTCAAAAGTTCAAAACTTCAAGTTATACACCAGTTTTTAAAATGTGTTGATAGGGCAAGAAAAAAAACTGAGTTAGGATTAATACTTTTTTTAATGTTCATCATATTTGAAGTGTGTTGCAGCAGGAGGCAGCGAAAGATGGACATATTCATGAAAAAAAAAACACCTCAGTTCACCCCCACCAAACTATTTATTGCGGCAAATCTCCATTAAGTCCATCTGGTGTCATTAATCATATTAATAGTSAAGTCCCATTAAAGTTTTTCTGACAGTTAATTGCACAAAATATGGTTTTGCCCAACCTTAGGAGGCAATAAAAGGGGTTGGTATTTGGTTAGTGTAAGAACGTTAAAGAACATTGTGGATGTTTTCTTGACCGTACCTCTGCCTTTTCACCTCTATACAGGAATAATTTTAGAAGACTCGTACGAGCGTCACTCACAATGAGTACATGTTCAGCCTTGCAGCTTGACTTCAAAAAGCTCACCTCTAGGACAACATTAGGTCAGASCTCTAAACCTTTCCTATTAGTACATGGGAAAAAATATATATTTCTATAAATGTTTTAGCCTCTTTTCACCTCTAGCAAAGTATCTCCTAATAATAAGAACTAAATGTTTGTTTGCTGGTCTAAAGATTCCTTTCAGTTCCAGTTGGGACACGCCACAGCCTCTTGGATTTGGTTCAGGCTTGTTTGATATAATCTGYGGGGGTTGTTAAGTCTGTGGGAGGCAGCGACTGAAACTAAACTATTCACACTAATCAGAGCTGTGCCTATCTACACTTTGACTTCATGTACAAAAGCTTGTGCATTAATGCTGTTTTATTGATTGACTCTCAGTGATAAATGCCACCAGGGCTCACTTTGTCAATATTTATAGACCATTGCTCACACACGGACAATGTTGAGGTTGTTTCCGGTTTTCTTCAATGCAACGTGGACAATATCTACACAACTAAAGTATTTTTTTAAACTGAATCTTTAATTTGGTCATACTGATGAATAYGTTTGC